GGGGTTTAGGGCTTTAGGGTTTAGGGTTTGGGGGTTTAAGGTTTTAGGGTTTAGGGTTTGGGGGTTTAGGGGTTTAGGGTTACTGTTTGGGGGTTTAGGGTTTTAGGGTTTGGGGGTTTAGGGTTTTAGGTTTTAGGGGTTAGGGTTCAGGAGTTTGGGCTTCGGGTTAAGCTTCCAAGTTTACAAATATAGTTCCTGTTTAGGGGCTCCAATGTCCATAAGGGTAGTTCTCCGAATTAGGTTCCCTTTTTAACTCCCCAACATAGTACGGCACCCATATAAAAAGGACCCTAAAAGTCTAAAAGGGACCCTGATTTACAGAACTACCCATAAGTATTTCGATCTTTGGGCTCTTTGGAGCTTGGGAAATATCTCCCTGTGATCGGTGTTGCTGCTCAGGGTTTAGGGTTTAGGGCTTAGGGCTTACGGCTTAGGGCTTACGAGTATTGGGATGATTGCTAACCGTGTTATGATCGCTTTGTTGTTCGTACCAGGTACTTCTGATGTGGAGTAATTAACGTTATTGTCTGGTTTATGGCCACTCTATTTGTGCTGCTGTCCCGTAAATGCTTTCATGCTTCTGAGCGCAGCTAACACGGTTGTTGCAATTTGCAGTTTGTCCTTCCGCTTATGGCATCGATAAACCCTAAACCCTAAACCCTAAACCCTTAAACCCTAAACCCTAAACCCTAAACCCAAAGCCCAACGATTCGGGATTTCGGGCGAAAGGCCTCTTGAAATTGAGGGCGAGGTTCAATGCGAAGGGCCGGCCAGACCTACCAATGTCCCTTAAGCAAGGAGCATGCCTTAAATGATAGTAGGATGGGTTTAGGGTTTAGGGTTTAGGGTTTAGGGTTTAGGGTGTAGGATCCAGAAACCGCCATAAGGTAACTGCCTTAATTGAGGGATTTCGGAAGGTCTGGGTAGTTTCAAGTAAGGGAGAATTACGAAGGAACAACCCGGACAGTACTACTTTTCCTACTTTAACCATTTATGGGCTCAAGGGTTTAAGGGATTCCTGGGTTCAGCAGGGGCTTCGGTGTAAGGGAGGACTAGTTCGATGCCGGTTTAGGGTTTATTGTGCAGGGTTTTGTGACATTCCCGATAATTCCTGAGCCCTCCACTCTGAATTCCAAGCATTGCCGAAAACTGCAACCGACAACCTAAACGGCATCCAAACGTTTCTGCCCGAGCCAGAAATACTCGTTGACATCAAGAGGCATCTCATCCTATAATCGTAAGATCTGTTTGAGGTGCATGTTGTATTAATATAGTGGCCTGAATAATTACCTATCTTATTTTGGGGCTCCTTATCGTAAATACGTCGTAACTACGTAGTAGAATATACCCCCAAAGCCCCATTCTAATTATTATGGCCCCTCAGCCCTAAACCATTATAGTAGCCCTTATAGAACCCTTTAAGGAACCATTTGAGGGAACCCCGAAACCCTTTTCTAATTGTTAAGCCCCTATTTTGCTGAAATTCTACCCAATCCCTAAACCCTAAACCCCTAGACCCCTAAACCCTAAACCCTTAAAGCCTAAACCCTAAACCCTAAACCCTAAACCCTAAACCCTAAACCCCTAAACCCTAAACCCTAAACCCTAAACTTTGGAGCCCTTGGGACCTCCAGGACTTCTGGTGGGGGCGACAAAGAGCAGACGTAGGGCCCAACTGCTCCTCACTGAAAGTCTAAGTTTGAACCCATGGGCCCTTAGGGGATTCTAGGGTCCCTTAAGGGTATATATAAGGTTGAGCCGCATCTTGGTGTTCTTCTGGTTGGCTCTTAGGACTTTAACTTGTTGGGTTTCTATATGAACTATAATAAGGAGACGAAAAGTTTATCTTTTTGGAGGGGTTCAGAAGTCAGCCAAGGCTCCCCACTGAAAGGTTTCAGTTCAGGGTTGAGGGTTTTAGGGTTGAGGGTTTTAGGGTTTGGGGGTTTAGGGTTTAAGGTTGAGGGTTTAGGGTTTAGGGTTTAGGAACCCATGGGCCCCTAACATGGGCCCTTAGGGGATTCTAGGGTGCCTTAAAAGTATATAGTCGGTATATTAGGGTCCCAGATTTAAGGGCCCACACTAGGGGCCCATGGGTTCTACCTGAAAGATTTCAGTTCAGGGTTGAGGGTTTAGGGTTCAGGGTTGAGGGTTTAGGGTTCAGGGGTTTAGGGTTTGGGTTCAGGGTTTGTGGTTTAGGGTTCAGGGGTTTAGGGGTTGGGGTTTAGGGTTTAGGTTCCAGGGTTTAGGGTTTCGAGTTTATGGACCCTGAACCCTAAGGGTCCATGTACTCAAATAGTAGATTCATTGGGCCCAAAGTACCTCTTGAAGGGACTACTTTAAGGCTAAAGCATCTGCTATTTGGCTACATGCACCCTGAGGATTCCTTCAGGGAGAGTGGTGGAAGGGGGAGGGTACTAGAGATTAGGGTTTAGGGTTTAGGGATTAGGGTTTAGGGTTTACGGATTACGGATAACAATTCAATACCCCTTAATTCAGGAAGATACCTCATAATATTAAGGCCCCTAAAAATTTACGGTCTATTTCTTATTCAAGGGGTATTGGTTTCTCTGGGGGAGCACAAGCGAGAGTACGTTATTAATCGGGTTGTATAACACCCCTTGACGCTAAACCCTAAACCCTCCCTAAAGGATCACAAAATTCAAGCGCCAAAGGGCTCAAGTGTAGGGATTCGGGTCTGTGGATCTCGGGTTTGGGGCTTAAGGGTTTCAGGTTCCTGTAAGGGTTCCTGTCAGGGATATACAACCCTAAGGGTCCAGGTACTCATATAGTATATACATTGGCCCCAAAGTACCTATATAGGGACTACTTTAAGGCCAAAGTATATACTATCTGGGTACATGGACCCTTAGGGCAAGGAATCTATAGGAGTTTAGGTTTTGGATTGTTGAAGTTTGGGAGTTGCGTGTTGCCGGCATACTCTCCAAGAAAAGCTCCACCAAGATCCATCAGGGGGTAACATACGGGTATTCACATGTGTAACCCCAAGGGTCCATGTACTCATATAGTATATACATTGGCCTTAATGTAGTTCTTATTTAGGTACTTCAGGGTCAATGTATATACTATATGGGTGGTTGTCAAAATTAATTATTGAGGGTACCCCCAAAGGGACCATAATTTTGACAACTACCTATATGGGTACATGGACCCGTAGGGTATTACTCTGCATGCACAGACCTTTCAACCCCTTAATGACGGAAGATGCCAGGGGTGGGGGGGGTAACATACGGGTATTCAGATGGGTAGAGTTTAGGGTTTAGGGTTTTACGAGCAGTTTACTCTACGTGCCCAGACCTTTCAATCATTTAATGACGGAAGATACCAAGTAAGTTGTACGTAGTAGGATCCCGAATATCCCTGAGGGTCCATGTACCCAGATACTGTATACTTTGGCCTGAAAGTAGTGTCTATATAGGTACTTCGGGGCCAAAGTATATACTATTTGGGTACATGGACCCTGAGGGATGAGTTAAGGTATGTTCTTTAATTCAGGGATTTTGGAAGGTCTGGGCGTGCACATTGGAACACACATTTCCTGATTTGAAAGCCGTCAGGTTTAGGTTCAGCGTGTCCTTGAAGCCATAAGCCTGGTTTAGGGTTTAGCGATTAGGGTTTAAACTTTCCACTCAGCAGCCTAAACTGCAAGACCCTAACACCCCCTAAACCCTAAACCCTAAACCCTCCTCCCTGAAAGCAACATAAACACCACGCTACGCCAAACTCGATCAGGTCCCGACCACATTCGCGAGCTCGCGACGGCCTTGAAGAAGGCAATGGAACAACCTTCTTTTATACTTGGTTCAAAACCCGGGTTTAGGGTTTAGGGTTTAGGGTTTAGGGTTTAGGGTTTAGGGTTCTTTTATACTTTCTCGACTTTGGAGTACCATACTTTAATACCTTTTTTTTTGACCTGTTCCTTAGAGGAGCCATTATGACATACAAGTCTATACGTTTTTCTCCCTGGTTACTTCAAAGCCCAGAATAGGGCAACCTTGCTTTATACTTGGTTCAAAATCCTAAGGGTCCATGTACTCATATAGTATATACATTGGGCCCAAAGTACGTCTTTAGGGATTACTTTAAGGCCAAAGTATATACTATACTACCTGGGCACATGGACCCTTAAACCCTGGACCCTTATAGAACCCTTAAAGGGACCGTAAACGGACCCTTTAAGCCGAAGTTATAGACTGGTCGGTTACATGGACACTTAGGGCAAGGCTGCTTACAATCGGCTCTTGGAGGGTTTTATAACGGTTTAGGGTTTTTTTCAGTTTGGGGTTTAGGGGTTTGGGGTTTAGGGTTTAGGGTTTAGGGGTTTAGGGGTTTAGGGGTGCTTGTGTCTCATGTGTGGGGTTCTGCATGGTTTTAGGGGGCTCAAGCCAAACAGTACCACAATGTACTTCAGTCATTCTTCGCATCGGTGCTCGTCTCAGTGTCGTGTTATCTGTTGAGGATATCTGGTTCTAGGACATTTTCAGGTGGGTAGTTACCGTTATAGGAGCCTCATAGAAGGTCTATATACCTTATAGAAGCCTTATAGAAGCCCTATAAACCCTAAACTCCCCACCTGTAGTTTCCTTTAACTGGTTGAGGGTTGAATGTGGGAGTTGGCAGCCTTTTCGCGATTTGGCAGACCCTAAACCCTCAACCCTAAACCCTATAACCCTAAACCCTAAACCGCTTTCAACTGCAGGCTGGCACACCGTAAACCTACGGGCTGCACTGTGCGCTGTAAACCTTAGGATTTAGGGTTTAGGGTTTAGTGTGTCCACCTTCTTCCAAGAGGTTTGGATCTAGGGTTTAGAGCTTGGGGTTTAGGGTTTAGGGCTTTAGGGTTTTAGGGTTTAGGGTTTTGTAAGGTTTAGTGTGTCCACCTTCTTCCAAGAGGCCGGTGCGGTGTAGCCGCCGGCGCAGTTTGCTGCTCCTGATCTGCACTGGACTTGTGTAAGCCAGTGTAACGGTTTTGAGTGAGGTGTATGACTGGGCCCTTTCCTCCACTATTCATGATGCAAGGCTCTAGTGGGGACACCGCAAAAGCACATTGCCGCAGCAGTTGCCAAACGAGAAGGTTCGCTGATAGGGCCATGGAAAGAGATGACTTCATCCGCTTGCTTGATTCCTGTTGGAGTGAGTTTCGGCAAAAGGCCATCACAGCCTACTCGAGCCAGGCGGTAAACGCCTAAACCCTAAACCCCAAA